CCCCAATAAAATGATTTAAAAAACAAACAAATTGATAATAAAAAATGAATAAAAGATATGTAATACTAATGTTTCTAAAAAATTTTCGGGTTATGAAAGTTATTGCAAAAAGAAACAATAGAGGGAGCGGGCACACAGTGGCTGGCCTGCCCTGCTGGCTCAGTGGCTAGGGACTTTAAAGTCTCCAGCCGGAGGCCTGGAACGCTGTGGCCTTGGTTTCCCAGCAAGGCAGCCTTGATAACCCCATTGAGCACTTTCACTCGGCCCCCAGGGGGCAGTGTCACCCTGGAACCACTGAAGGCTTTTTTTTTTTAATTAAAATATCCTTTAATCGGGGGCTCCTACAACTCTTTTTATAATCCGTACATCAACTGTATCAGGCATGTTTGTACATATGTTGCCATCCTTGTTTTCTAGACATTGACTCTCTGTTGAACCCTTGGTATTGGCTCCTCCCCACCATGGCCAGTTGTGACTTCCTACACAGCCAAGCACCCAGCCATCCCTCCCTTCTCCTCCCCCTCCTCTTTCAATACAGTGCTATTTTTGAACCACATCCCCCCCCCCCCCCCCATTTGCTTATTTTGGTGTTCCTATCATTAATTATGAATGCATCCATTTTTCTGTGTAATTTTACATGTTTTCAGTGAAGGTGTACACGGCAGCCTCACCGCACTGTGTTCAGTGGTGTTCATTCATTCTTCAGAGGTGGGGGCGGTTTCCATTCTTCATTCTGGGGATCCCAATCCACTCATCCAGTCTCTCTCCTGCCCTCCCACCGCCCCCTTTCGGTTCTCATCACCTTTGTTTCAAAGTGACTCTTGACCACTCAGCCTCACGGCAGAGCGAGTTGGTCCTTGTCTTCTGTACATCACACTGCGTGCGCAACTTCTTTTTGTTGTACGTGAGCATAGATGCAGGGAAGCGCCCCCACGTCAACAGTCACAGCTCCGGGACAGTGATTCCGTTCTTGGGCCTTGCTCACCTCTCCTCAATGGCTTCTCCTCCATTAACGCAAACCTGCTGCCTCAGAAGGGTCCATTCTTCGTTCGCATTACTGTTGCTACTTTGCTCCCCACCATGTGATTTCTTGATTTTCCCCATTGTTCCATTCCATGACTGAACGACAATTGCTGTTGTCGGGCCATGCCTGAAATGAACAGATAGGTCCACAAACACAGCATTATATTATGATATAATTATTTGCATAAATTTCAGAATGTTTGACTTGTATTCACCTCTGGGAGCTTGTGTCCAGTTCAGTCCCCGCTTTGCAGTGAGCTACTCTGCGAACCTAGACGGGCCCTTGGAACTGTGTCACCACCCTCACGACAGGCTGCTCTCCCACCCCTCCCCACAACTGCCCTTTCCTCCTGCCACAAAGATGCCGGCTGCCCTGGTGAGAGCCTTGGTCGCTGTCTTCTCTTGCAAGTTTGCCGAGTATGCTTTTCTGGTCATCCGTCTCCCTGTGTCCCTGCTTTCCTCGCCACGCCACCCCCAAATAAGAAGCTACCGCAATAGTCTCGTTACTCTTTATATTCCACTTTCTTACCTAGTACAGTTTGTTCCAGTCGTAAGGAATGCTTTATTACATATTCATCCAGCCACGGGGCTGGGTTTTGTTTTTGCTTCTGGTCATTGCAGACAACCCTGTAGTGGACAGCACTGCATATTGCCATGATTCTCTAGGAAACGTTTCTGAATCTCAGAGGTTGTGCACCGCTTTAAGTCTGAGACCATTTTATTTAAATGACTTCATAAATGTCTAATGTGTACCAGCCAGCAGTGTACAAAAGGACCCGTTTTTGTGTTATTCTTGCCAATACTATATTCTAATTGTATATGCTTGTCATAGATGAATTATAGAATATTACTATTTAATTGACACTTATATTTTCTTATGCATTTCCCCCTTATGTTTGACCTCTTTTCAAAACTGTACATCTTTATGGAAGCTGATGGCCACATCTTTGAGCAGCTGTTGCGTTTGAACCGCTGACTATTCAGTGAGCAGTCAGTGCTTCATCCAGGGCTCCTTTCCACTTATACAGCCACCACCTTTTCTTCAGTTGTGTCTATTCTACACTTTGCTTCTTTAAATTGGTCTTTCCTATTCCTCAGATTAGTGAGGCTTTTACTGGACTTGACCCAGAAGCCATGCATTTCAGCTTGTGCATCCATGTATTTCTTATCTGATCTGACATTGAACTTGTTACGTGTTGGTGTGATTTCAAAGAGCCTGAAGGGTCTGTTGAAATCTTCTGTTTAAACGATAAGAAGCCTGGTGGCACTGTCATTTAAGCGTTAGACTGCGAACCAGCCCACGCTTGCCAATTGGACAGTGAACCAACCACCAGGTTGGCAGTTCAAACCCACCAGGCTCTTCTCAGCAGAAAAATGAGGCTGGCTGTTCCCCTAAAGATGTGCAGTGGGAAGTTCTCCTCTGCCCACACAGGGTTGCTCTGAGCGAATCGACTCCGTGAGGGGTGGCTTTGAGTTTGGGGTTCATGCAAACGATAATAGCAGAGTGGCTTTTCCGTTTGTCCCAGGCGAAGCAGCTCCCCTAGCTTTTGACCCATTGCCCTTTGGGGAGTGCATGTTAGATGGGTGTTATCCGCACAGTTTCCCTGGGCCACTTGGAAGAAGCGGTGGGTGTGTTGTTTCACTAACTGCGTATTTGCTTTTTCACATGCTGCAGGAGATCGAATCCAAAGTAAGTAGCAAAATAGTCCCTTGCTAGTACGGTGGGGGGCTGCTGAGGGAATGGGGGGAACGGGTGTGCATGCAGACCCCTAGCATGAGCGGAGCCAGGCAGTCCTTCCTTGGGTTTCAGAGTGTGGTCCATGGCACAGGGTGGCAGTAATTCTGTGCTGGCTGTTTCCTTCCCGATCTTAGGCTGGCAGGAGTTCACCCCTTGCCGAACAAAACTTATCAGGAGAAAGGCTTTTCTAACGGGATGGTCGGCGCCCCCCTGCCCTCAGAGAGGAGGGCCACACTGACAGAACGCTGCCAAGGCGAACCTTGGCATGGTTGTATCAGCTTGAGGGGAATTCAGAGATAACCATCGTTAGCATATTTTTTTAAAGAACCAGAGTTGTTTTAAAATTGATTTAAAACATATTTAAAGCCTTGTAAATTGAAAGTGGGATAACTTTTTTTTTCAATTCTTCACATTAAAAATTTACAGTGGTCTTTACACTCTTTTCCCTCTCCCAAGACAGCTTCGTCTTCGTTAAACAAGGACATTTTACAATATGTGTCTTTGTAGGCAGGCTTGACTGGGTAATTTCAAGGTTCCCAAAGAATGAGGTTTATGTAGGAAATCTTCTAGAGCCCGTGCGTGTTCAAGAAGGGCGGTTAGTAGTTGCGTGTTCTTGGGCACCAACAAAGGCGAGAAAGGCCAGTTTGTGCAAAAATCTCCATCTCTGGGAATTACTCTTCGAAAGAGATGTTACATGAAGCCATCTGTGGCGTGCTGCCTTCTGAAACTCCCAAATATATTTAGACAAACTAGGACGCAGCTGTTACAGTCATTTTGTGAAGGGAAAAAACACACACCAAAACAACAGCGACTCGGTTCTGTACAGTTACCGACAGCAGTCATCTTATTATTAATGCATTTCTATGGCAGAGACCTAATAGCCGGCGAAAGGCGTGGGCTTTGGCACACTGCTTCCTCATGCACTCTACACTTGACCTTGCTGCTGCTGCTGCGCTTTCTCCATACAGTATCTGTGCCTTTCCTTTTTCAGGCCAAGCAGCTGGAAGAGAAAGATCGGGTGATCAAGAAGCAGGACGCCTTCTACAAAGAGCAGCTGGCTAGACTGGAGGAGAGGGTAAGGCTCTTTCTTGTAGTCGACTTCTTCCTGGGACCCAGCGTCCGCAGTGTCCCCGTACACGTATTCAGGGACCAGTCAGTTAGCAGGGTAAATGCTTTCCTTCGTTCGACCGTGGCCCGGAAGTGAGGAAGCCCAGCATGTCACTTGCCCCACAGCAAGTTGGGGTTCGGTTGGGTTGTGCCATGGGTTCCCTCATTCATTTCTCAGTTTGGGACCTTGCCAACCAGTGTTTCCCGAGATGGTCTGATGCCGCTGCCTGGCTCGGGGGCACTTAAGGAGAGTGCTGACTCAGCAGACATTGGTTAGCCTGGAGTTTTGTGGGCGGGGACGGCTGGATGTTAAAGGACGCAGTGCTTTGTGGGAGCTCCAGCTCTCTGCATTTGTGGCTAGGAAAAGCCGGTCGCTTTCAAGAGGAGTCAGCGTGTGCCGAGCGTCTGGAAAGGAGAGTAGCCAGGAATGGTCCAGGAATGGAGGCGGTGAATGTGGGGATTTCCATGTGTTTCTTGCTCACTGGGCAGACTGGACTGGGTGATGATGTGTATAGAAGCCCTTTGAAGATGGGAAACTGCTGAACCAATAGGAGCTGTTGCCTTCAAAGGATATCTCTAACCTTCCAGTTGTGCACAAGATACTAAGACTCATAAAATTACTTGACCTGGTATCTTCTGCCATTCCCAGAGGGTTGTATTCATTCCTGCCATTCCTCATGTGCCGGGATTTTGTCCAGTTGATTTTCATCCAGGAACTAATACTTGAAATATATTTGTATGTCTCATGATGAAGCATTTTCAAGGCTTAATTAAAAAATGTGTAAAAGGCTTTTCCCTTGTATTGTGAAGGTAGCAAAAAGTGTAATATCTAGCTGTTTCTCTTAGGAATTATGCACACGCTTTGTATTAGAAGATGTAAAAGTGTTGACGCCAATAATGTATAATGTAAGAACAACAATGCCTATAAGGTAATATTATGATAACTTGCAGAATCACCTAGCGTTCTGTGAAATCTAGGTTTCCCGTGAGTTAAGTGGGAATATAAACACATCTCTCCCTCTGTTTCAACCAAAAGAAATGGTGGAACCATATAATGGTCACAGGTAGCCTCTTATCCGTGGAGGTTGGGGAGCATCAGCAAATCTTCTAGAATCGTTTCAAGAGTGCTGTGCTAGGCGGGATTCTCTAGAGAAGCAAAACCAGACTCTTGAAGGTCTATAAAGACAGAACATTTAATGAGGGCAATGGCTCTCACAGTTGTAGAATGGGGCGAGTCCCATGGCCTGGTGGCTGAAGACGAGGAGGAGCCCAAGGTCTGCAGGCCAGGCTTGTGACTGCAGAGACTGGTGGGCAGATTAGATGTCCGGCCAATGATGGCACCCAGGATTGGCAGGCAAGATGGCAGGCTGTAGGAACTGGATGCCCATGAACCAGATGCAGGATCCAGACCCAGTCAACTGCAAACAAGCTTTTCCACGGCATCCACATATTTTTTTTCCTAATTTTATCCAGACTAGGCTCTGAGTGAGGGAGCGGACTTCCACCCTAATGATCTTCTAACAGATTGGCTGTTCATGGCAGATCCAGCTATAGAGTTGATTATATTGTATCAGGTCAGATCCCAGGAGATTAGTAGGCTGTAACTGCCAAGCCACTGAGAATCCTTGCCCAGCCCAGCCCAGTTGATACCACCCCTAACAATCACAGCGGTCTCTAAGAGACCTTACACCTGCTCCGCAAGCAGATGAGCCAACGCACTCAGACATGACGGCTTTTTGATGGTGCCTAGTCTTACCTGGGGTGCTCATTTTCACGGGCTTGACGCACATCTCCTTGAGACCAGGAATCAAAGTCCACACACCAGGTGAAGCACACTCAGTTTCCAAACACGGTTTGGTTTGCCGCTGGGATCCATGTCATTCCGCTCTTCCCCAGGGAGGTTATTCCAGCCTGTGACCCGAGCGTCTGTGGACTGGCCCACCAGTAGTCGGAGCTCGGTTCTCCTCTTGCTGGCTGGGGGGGAGCAGCGAGTGTGATGTTTCTGAGAGCCAAGATTCAGGAGTAGAAACCCTTTACCGTAGTTGGTCAGATGCTGCCGTGCCAGCCTGTCAAACAGCTGTGACACAGAAGTGAAGTGAAGGGCTCTCTTCTAAGAACAGTCTGGGTGTCACATTGAGGTATGTGGCCTAATGGAGAGAGCCTTGGAGAAACAGCCATCCTTGAATGTTGGTGGGGTGAGACAGACCCAGGGCAGCTGTCAAAGAGAAGGTTCCTGAACGTCTTTAAGGCTCCTCCCATGCTCCCATGGACTGACACCTGCAGAGTGCCTTAGACCCTCTTTGCGATGCCCACGTGTATCCTGTGCCAAGCATGAATGGTCATCCGCCGTCATCTGGTCACCTCCACGGAGACATGGGTCGCTCCTTTTATTTCCATGTCTCCACGACCCATGCAGAGTTGCCCCACCGCGGGCCAGTCACAGGTGGTCTGAATTGGCCCCATAATGCTGTCTGAGGAACTCTTGTGTACTTTTTAAACCTATACCGCACTCTTGAACCTCTTCCTTATTCATCGTCTAAATCATTGAACCCTATCTCATGGACGGGGCTGTGGCATTAATGATTTCAGAAGGTGGCACACTGTGCTTAGCCATGCTGCTTATTCCCCTTTCTCCCCAATCTAGCCCTTGGAGCCGCCCACTCCGTGGTTGGGCGGAGTCCACAATCACTCAGCCAAGAGCCCAGGGAGGCAGGCACGAACGGGTTAGGACTCTGAGCTTTCAGCCACCCCACAGGTTCCCGTAATGCTTGTGAACCACCTTGGACTCGGGCATTGGGTTTGGTTGGAGTTTGGGAGCTTGGAACGCACAGTCCTGCTGGTTGTCTGGATGGTTCTCTGGGGTGGTAAGTGAATTCGTCCTGGCCCCTCATGTAGTAACCCTTCAAGTCCTGGTGCAATCGCTTGATTAATCCTCCCTCAGACCCATAAGCTTTGCGAATTCAAGATGCATCATTCTCTCCCTGGGATTTGGTGCATCCTGGCATAATCCGACCAAAAGGAAATCAATAAGGTCTATTTCCTAGCAACTAGAGCATGACAACCCTACGAGTTCATTCGCTCCCTCGCCGAGCTTCTCTTGCTACAGAGGAAGCTGTCCCGGCAAGCTCCAGACGGTCTTGAGGTGTTCATTCATTTACGCACGCTTCCTCTGGCTGCCACTGGGAGCCAGCTCATTCCTTCCACTAGAAAAAAAGCCAGTGCCCGTTACTTTTTAGATAAGGGGCTTCGATGGTTATTTCATGTGAACCTGGATCAGCGTAACATGGTCTTCAGCAGGCCAGCACCCATTTGCAGTGGTCTGGGAGAAGGCAGCACAGGGAAGGGCTGAGGCAGAGAATAAGAAGGCAGTCTGTCTTGCCCCAGGAATGCTCCAGGGTGGCGGGCTACCCCCCCTCCCCCCCAGCACCTCTGGAAGACTTGAATTCTTCGATGCTTACAGCTTGCACGTGTCCCTTCTGAATTGATTTGCTTGACACAGATCCACCTGGCTCTTGGCTCTTCCCACGGATGGTGAGGTGTGACACGGCACGAAGAGAGCTATTAAACCTTGGCGACCTGGGGAGGATGGTTAGAGGTGGTTAGAGCAGCAGTTCTCAACCTGTGGGTCGTGACCCCTTTGGGGGTCTCGAACGACCCTTTTACAGGGGTCGCTCGATTCATCACAGTAGCAAAATTGCAGTTATGAAGTAGCAACGAAAATAATGTTATGGTTGGGGGGTCACCACAACATGAGGAACTGTACGAAAGGGTGGCAGCATGAGGAAGGCTGAGAAACCACTGGGTTAGAGGATGCTGACCAATGGGGCAGTGGCCTTCTGCCCAGCCTCCCCTGGCTCCAGCAGCGAGTTGCATACGTGCCATAGCAAAGGCCGTCATTAAGAGGGCGCAGAGATTGCACAAGCTGCGCCAGAGGGAGCGGTGCACCCAGAGCAGCGGCAAGGACGCCGTCATTAAGAAGAAAAGGACAGGACTTGCCCGTCACCTGTGGAGAGTGGCTAATTAAATTCTAAAGTCCTGCTTCCCTCCGAGGAGCTGAGCCATTCTTGGGAGTCGTGAGTCTCTGGCGGGTGGCACAGCCCCACTGCATCACCACGGCCGCCACCTCTGCGTGATTAATTGGCTTTCTGACGGCGTGACTTCTCCTTTGTCAATTAGTAGCTTCAGTTCTCTGTGCCTCCGTGCGGGCTGGCGGGGGGCAAAAAAGGATGCGATCACCGATGAGACAGAAAATGACAACAGGATAAATTGTTGTCCGCCGCCTGTTCCTTATGGAAGGAAATGACTGTGCATTTCCGTCGCCGGATGAAGCCTGTCATCGGACAAGCAGCCCAGCCACGAAGCGGGGCCAGCCTTCTTGGGGATTAGTCCAAGACAGTCGCAGGCCATGGACATCTGGGATACTGGAACATAAACAGCCCTCTTTCAGGGTAGGGAGGTGACGTCATCAGCTTGTAACTCTCTAAATCCAAAATCACTACCAGCAAGTGGATTCCGACTCATAGTGTCAACTCCTATAGGACAGAGTAGAGCAGCTCCGATGGGTTTCCAAGATTGTGACTCTACGGGAGTGGACAACCTCACCTTTCTTCCCAAGGTTGGAGTGGCTGTGGTTTTGAGCTACTAGTCTTGTTTTTAGCAGCCCAACCCATAACCACTACACCACCAAGCTTTCAGGATGAAAAGGAGAAACAAGTCCCCGTGATGATTTCCCACAAACTGTTGGCTCAGTAGCTGCCAGAGCTGGTAGGTCACACGGGGGCTCAGAGAGCCTAAAGTATACCATGTTGGCTTTGTTCACTTACAGCAAACACCTGATAGCAAACCTGGCACAATGGCTATGAGCATGCCAGCGATGGCCCACTAGTTCTCCCTTGCCAACCTAGAGAGAAGCCCTCTTCCTGTACCTGGGGGAGGGTGGGTGGGGGGTGGAGCACCGGCTGCTTCGCT